AGCAGGACCAGAGGACGTTGCCATGATTGGCAAAGACAGCAGGAGGCCGGATGTCAATGATCCAGCTGCGGCAACACGCAACGATGAGGAAGTGTTGGTCGGACCAAAGCGCCTGCGCTTGGTCGCAGGAAGTTGGCCTTTGGTCTCAGTAGGAGCGCATTGCCTGGTTGCTGTTTCTGAAGACGATGGTGCATCCAAGAGATCAGACAAGGCCTCTAACAATGGCATTGAGATTTGATTCCCACAACAAGAAGTGGCCAGTGTCGCGGAGGTCTCTTGCAAGAGGTCGTTGTCCAAATCATCACTGCCTTCATAATCATTGTCGTCCTCCTGGTTGTTGGGATTGTCGATCATCCAGCCGTTTGGAGCAGCACTGGAGGGTCGGGGTTGAAGTGCACAGGGGATGCTGACCTGCGCAGGACTTTAAGAGGCATGATCCAGTTCATTGGCAAGGACATTGCGGAGCATGGCACTGGCATCAGCTCTGAGCTGCACCCGCCGGTTGGGTATGCAGGCACAGCAAGCCACTTCACCTGCACGCGCCCAAACTGTAGAAAGTCATTTGTTGCCATCCCCACTGGGGATGAGAAGCAGGGACGGCTTCACTGCAAGCGCAAGGCGGAAAGGGGCTCTCCGGACGGCAGGCTTGCATGGGTATCCTGGGTCTGATGGTGAGCAGCAACGGTGAGAGCATCCAGCCAATTTGGCAAAGGTCTCCGCCCATGAAGTGCTTGTTACCCCAGCTGATTCTTTCCTGTTCCTTGTACCATCATCTCTTCATCATGAGCTTCCATCGCATTGTTGGAGTTGTTGGCATGCTCAACCCTTGACATTGTGACCTTTCTGTCAGCAATGTTGCTGCACTCTAACATGGACGTCAAGGATTACCACATGTTGTTCATTGGATTCAGTGGTGCAGCGCTTCATGATCCCCACGTAGCGATCCTCTTGATCCTTCATGGCGATTGTTCCATGGTTCAAGTGCTTGGTCAAAGTTGGGAACTTGCGGACCTTGACAGCAATTCAGTGGCCAGGATGTGCTCAAAAAGTACTCCATGGTTCCTGAACTGGACGATGGGTCTGGCCAGAATCTTTTTGGAAGACAGACTTGCGCACGTAAGAAGTGTGGCAACCAAGGGATGGGAAGGGAGAGAAGAATGGACACTCAAAGTGGTACCAATGTGTCACAAACACACACGGCAGGCAAAAGAACCATGTACTTGGAGATTATTGTCACAATTGTGAGGCACTTTTGTACAAGGCATGTGCTTCTGTGTAACTCTACAGCCAACAGCAAGGGCAGCAACACCAACAAGGACCCCCTTGCTGCCAATGAGCAAACTTCTGGTGAGCATAGCGCACGGATCTGTTGTTGTCAAACACTGCTCACATGCTCTAGTCTGCAGCTGCCAACAGAGAAAGGACTGGCAAGAGCGGCAGCGGGCAAGTTACAGAGGCTTCTGCATGGGCATCAATGGTTCCAAAGATACAACTGGAACAGCCAAAGTAATTGTTGGATCTGCCAATCAGAGTCTCTTGAAGGAGAAAGGGTGCCAGGGCCAAAGTGGGGAATCTGGCAGCAAAGAGAAGATGCGCATCGTCTGGTGGGCAGTAGTGAGGCTGACAACAAGACTCGATCTGGAGAGAGAAAAAGGAAAGAAGAAATATAACCGAGTAAAAAATGGTCATGCTCCACCGCTGGCCGGGCAGGTGGAGGCAGTGGTAGCAAGCACAATTAAAAATTTGGATCGTGGTGAAAATCCTCTACTCGCTCTTCTCTGTGCCTCTGTGACTTCTTGGTTTGCGCTCAACGCGGTTCTGACAATTTGACGCTGAAGACCTGGTCTGTTCGCGTCTGGTAGATCTTATTAACAGACAACCGTCTAACAGATGTGCTTGTACGGCTATCTGGGATTAAACGTTTTCACCAAGCAGTATCTTGAGAGAAGCACAACCTCTACAAGTATCTTGTTTTTTGCACAAGCTTAGTAAAACGTTTTTCATTCTCAGTTCCAGTCTCACGTTGATGACCAATTGGAGGTCGTGGAGATTCTGGAATGCTTCCTCCAAATAGACGGTTCCTTCTTCCAGCTTCTACAGTGCTCTATCGGGAAAGGAATCAAAGGACTTGGGTCGCAAGTAAACGGAGCAGATTATCTTTTCCTCGCCAAGTGTAAAAAAGCAATGATCAAACGGTAGACGCAAATGAGCCACTCGGCAAAGGTGTGTTTGAGACACAGCGCACTAGAAGTTGCGGTCGATAGCCTAAAGAAGATGCGCACTCTTTGCTAAAAAAAGACGGTCGGCCGGTTGCAGAAGCGTGTCATTATCACGACTGAGTGGTACATTGTTATGAAGACTTGCTCTACGGCCAAGTAATGAATGCCTCATAGAAGTTAACCACGGCGCTCGGTCTTGGGTCCAAAGGCTCAAAATATCTTCGGCTAGCAATGCGTACAGCGGCTGTGCGGTGGTATATGCATGAGGCGGTTGAAGGCTGCGTGAGCTCAGAAGTTGAAGCTTTTTTGTAGGGCAAGCAAAACTAAGAAAAGACGCGTCGAAACAAGACAGCTGCCCAACGAACAGCCTGCCACGAAGATAAATATGCTATAAGCATGGCGCTGCGAACCACATTTCCCCGTGCATCTAATGAAGAGCAACAATTTCAAGGCGTAACTGCAATCAAGAGCAAGACAGAAGCGCATAGTCGGATGCAATGCCTAGGCCTGAGCCTCTGCTTGATCAACAAAAGATGTGGCTCCAAACCGCTGTTGAGAAGTGGTGCCCAAGGATGGCGAGCTTTCGCTAGAACTGTTCGCTTGAAGAGCACATGCCGAGCCTCGTCCTACCGCGAGAGTCAATGCATTGTATATTGCGTGGTGTCTCTCCGCGCAAAGGTCGTCATCTTTACTATGAAGTCGCTCAGGCATTTGATGCTAACTGTTACGCTCGACGCCCTTAAAGGACTGTGTTGTGAGTCTTTTCGGCTTCTAGACCACCATCATGCGCGGAAAGGGAATGTGCTTTGCAAAAATTAGTCTTTGGCCTGTTGCAGCGTGTGCACCATGGTTCTGCGTGAGCAATGATTGCGCTTGCCAAGCTCCGATGGACAGCGAGGATTCTTGTCAACAACACTTGTACGGTCTCAGCATCCAGTCCGACAGCTTGTTCAACCAGCCTGGCTGCTCATCCTCCCCAAGACAACATCGTTGAAAGAGGCTACATCACGTGTTGAGCCAAATGCGTAACGTGACGCCGGGTCATATCCGAATGCGCAAGTCAAAGCTGTCGGCGGTACGCTGAGTGCCTGGTCGATAGACAAAACCTTTCAGTCTTAGCTTTAGCTTTTCAGACTGGCCTTTAATGCGAATCAGTAGCTCACCCATCCTTCAGGTGAGATTTAAGGGATCCTCTTGGTGAGTAAAATTTATTCCAGCAAATTCAGTCTCTGGACACTCGAACTGTATTCCAGAGTCAAAAACACAATCAAGAATTCAAGCTCATGATCAATAGAGATTAGGTAAAGGCCAAAGCGCCAGCAACATTCAGTGGGGGTTCTGAACCGAAGCCGCTTTACGAATCAGCTCTCTTTGCATTTTCGGGCCAAGGCACCTTCTTGAAGTCCGCGAAAAGATGAAGACAAAATCAAGAAACAATGAGACCGTGCAGAGTCGTGAAATAGATGGTCTCCCTTTTAGATACAAGTCAACTGAAAATAAGCATGCAACGGCTGAAGAGAAGAGAAGTGATGCTAGAGCTTCATTGATCGCACTGGAAAGCCGCCCACTGCGAGGGGGGCTCAGTGGGAACAATCAAGTCATTCCTTTACATTTGTCGCGCATGCCATCACCGAGTTCCTGTTGGGCAAAGTAAGTGCCATGAAACGTTCCTGGTCTACTGTGCGTTCCGGATCAAGTCATCATTTGTACGTAATAAAAGCTGTTGAATGCTGGAGGTATTTTGAAAACCTTTATTGAAAGTTTTCAAGCGATTGGCAGAAAAGAAACCTATCAATAGAGCCGGCGTTCGGAACACCTCGAACAGCAAAATTTTTTTTTGTGGCGTGGGACAACGAAGAGAAAGGTTTGCTTTTCGAATCGTTGCGCGACTGACAGCGCTTATCAGAGACGCGATGTGAGAATAATCTCTCTTCGTGATAGAGAAACTTGAAACTTTGACTCTAACCAGAGATACATACCTGTAGGTCTACAATAGAAAACGAAAGCTCAAAAATTTCATCTCCGGTCTTGAAATCATTGAGCCTAACTCCGAGCCGATCGAGCCACGAATGGCCGGCCAGTCATCGGCTTAGACATTGCTACACATTTCTGCACGTAGACAAATTTGATTCCAGACATCGATTGCCCGAGGCCGACCGATCTTTAATGCACAAAGCGATGGTCGAGACATATCCGTACGCGAGAGAGTGCTGCCTCGCGGCACGTAGTTACCTCGTCTGGATCAATCTCTGTACTGAGACCCGATCTTAGTTTGCCTCGGCTTTGTCAGATGGTTCGAGAAACGGAGAAAGGTGAAGCCAACGACTTAGACTGCTCTTCCGATGCACTGGCTTCCTTTGTGCTGACACAATGGCTTACAAGTCCTCTCTGGGACGCAAGACCATGAGCTCCATGAACGCGAGCAGTCGTCGATCAAGCTGACCGACGATGAGAACGCCCTTTACAGACGTCTTGCTTTGCGATCAGGAGGCTTGTTCCCAGCTCACGACCACTGCCTCGGCCCTGACTGAACAGCGTTGGACAATAATCACCGTGGGTGTCAGGGTCATGGACTGCAGTGGCTCGCGATTGCATCGCACGTCATTCAAGACGAAAGAGCAGGCTCTCCCCATTGTCGGTAGTACACACGGGGCGAAGCCACAGAGCTGCGTGCGTCTTGTTTGAACAATGAGAAAATGTCCTTTTCACAGCCAGGCGGCAGACAGCGTGAAGTAGCATACAGACTCTCAGACTATAGAACTTCAAGCAGTCAAAAGCGGAAGGGTCGGTGACGGCGATGGGAGCGCTTTGTGAGCGCCTTCTTGGGCGCGTACGTAGATGGCAGCTCGCTTCGTGCGTGCACCTCCTGATGGGAGCTCTTATGCACAGTGCCTTTGCCGTCGTGTGTGTCAGCCTCCACAGTAGCGTCCGTGGAGGCAGATGCGGAGGTTTTCCTCGAAGGAAGGTTGGCAGGCGATGTCTGAGGCTGGTCATTTCGTGTGCCGGCATTGTTGTGCTTGGAGGGCGTGTTGTGTTGCGTAGGAGTGTTTTGAGACTTCTCGGTCTCGAGACCTTCGGCGCCATACTTGGTTGGAATGCGCTGCCCCGAGTATGACTCGATCATATCCCTCAAACCGCTTGGAAGCTGGCGTCGTAATAAATGAGCTTTGTTCGGTCCAGTCAAGTTCGAGCTTTCCGAACGTTTGTGAGCCGCTGATGAGCCTGCTTGCCCCGTCCCACCGCCGGCCGAGCCTCCTTCGCTACCTTCACCGCCACCGCCACCACCTTGGCCAAAGTCTACTGTAACGATGACCTCTCCAGAGCTATTGACACCTTCAACTGCGACGATTTGATGGGAACACTTGCTCATTTCGCCTTTTGCTTTACCCCACATTTCAAAATGCTTGGCCGTGCTAACTTTGCCTTGATTTCGGGGCTCCGATCTGATGTTGATGTATTGTATAAAGTCGGTGGACTGGCCTTTGATTGACGGTTTTCCAATGCGCGGATTTGTAACGAAAGTGTAGGAACTGCCATCAATCTCTGCGGTCGCGACGGTCTCTTTGCCTTGAAACGCCTTGGTGTCGCCATGGTTTTCGATGATGTAGTACTCAATGAGCTGGGGCGACTCGCACCAACCATAGACAGAGAGCCACGTCATGCCGGTAACGTCGAACTGAGCGGCATTGAAACCTACAACTCTAGGGAAACAAAGTCCGGCAAATATGAAGAGGGTCAGCTTCTTGGCCTCGGTAGACTATTTCAGAGCTCGGACGCCCTCACCGGCTTTGATCGCTATCGTCAAGGCCCATTCCGAACAAAGCGCTGGTCTTGTCCCAAGACATTTTGAAGCCCGCTGGAGGACCTTTGATAATGGACACGTGTGCTTCATTCCCTCCTCCTGGAGTCCAGTAATTCGTATCCAGGCCTACAGCTTTTCCGGGTCCCGTCTTGACGACGGACAGGCCGGCTGTGCTGCCAGTTTCTGCCTTCCCTCCACCGACGCCCCCTCCAGCGCCACCGCCCGACCCGCTTCCCGATCCGTTTGCACCGCCGCTGGACCCCCTGTTGCTGCCATTCTTGGCTCCGACGCTACCAGAGACACTTGTGTTGGAGCCGGTGCCTTGTTCGTTTCCAGAGGCTCCGGTGTTGGAGCTAGGAGTCTTGGCGTTCTGGGAGCTCTCTGTGGAGCGCGTAGCACTATCATGCGCGGTAGTCGTGCCAGATTTTGTGCTTACGCCCGTGGCTTTGTTTGATTCAGAGTCAAAATCAGTCCCGCTCGAACCTCCTTGGTGGGCGGTTGAAGTGTTTGTTGTGCTTCCTCCGTTCCCAGTGCCGCCAACTCTACTTCCTTTAGCTGTGCCAGTTCCACCGCCGGCAGAGCCAATATTGGTGTTGCTGTCTGCGTTGGCATTGTTGGTCGAGCCTGCAGCACTACTGTGACCAGATTCGCTGCCAGCGCCTAGATTTCCGGAAGAGTATGAGGTAGTACCTCCAGTCTTGCCGTGCGTGCTCACACTCCCACCGCCTGCCTTGCCAGCGTTAGAAGCACCGTCCGTGCCGTGCTGGGAGGTTTGAGTCCCTGCCCCAGACCCATAGCCCTTGCCATACCCGAAGCCAGCGCCCCCTCCCGAGCCCCCGTACTTGTTAGCATAGTAGGCGGCAGTGTCAGCTGGGTTGTAACCACCGCCGCTGCCGCCGCCGTAACCGCCCCCGTAACCGCCACCGTAACCGCCGCCACCTCCAGAGGAAGATTCACGCTTGTGCAGGCCGGCCCTGTGTTCAGCTACGTGACCGTGTGATGTGTCGACCAGGATCACGCTGCACAGTACAGCGGTGACGACGAGTCTGAGCCACAGCTTGGACATTTGCTGATAAATTCCGTGTATGTACGTTGTAATGTAGTAAGTGCTGATGGTTGAAGTGCTGATGTAGATCGGAGGCAATTGGCATACTATCGCGGGATGGTCAGCCAACTTTCGGCAGATGCAAAGCTAGCTGGAGGACCTTTAAATACCTTTTGAGAAGAGGCCAAGCTCGAAGGAGGCAACGCTTCTCGCTGATCCCTCCTCCAAGAAGCCTGCTTGTGACTTTCGTGGAATGGGATCGAGTCATGATCATTGCGCAGACATTTGTTGAGCTGCGATAGATTGATTCAAATACGCGGTGCTCGCTGTCGTACCTGAGACAGTACGCGAGCGGAATTGATGGTCTCAGGTACAACGTGAACGGAGTGCGGCGCCACTGCGCTGGGCAGTGTTTCGAGGTGCCCTGCAGCGAGCTCGGTCATCGAGATTGTGTCCGCAACGAGGCGCTGGCGCGGTAAAGATTCTCTACGCAACCTGTGGGCTCGGGTGCGGCTGACTACGTTCAAGCAAAGCGCAGTGTC